AAAAATTTAGGAAAGTAATCTCACCTTATATTTACATTTGCATATCAAAGAGCTTATTTATAACATAGAAAAATTATGCATAAGAAGTTATTATGCAATATGGATTGTAAAGATACCAAACAATTTCTACATCTATAATAGAATGCTTTAAATTAATTCCAAAAATGTATGAAAATATAATAGATCCTATATATTACAGAGGCATGATTGTAAAACTGATACAACTTAATCATATTTGATTAGATTTGTCTTACTCCATTGATATTATAAGTAGGTTTATGCAATGACCAAAAATACATCACCTTGCAATAGCTAAATGCATCTTCTATTATAATACAAGAATATCAAATTATAAAATTCTATATACCAACCTCTGTGATCATATTATAACAGACTTTACAGATATTGACTGCAATGAGGGGAGGACTTAACAGATGGCAAATCAATAATGGACTTTGTATTTAAATTGGAAAGAAGTCTTATTACTTCGATGTCCAAGAAGTAGGCCATTGTGGCCCTTTCTTCATGCATAGCAAACTATATGTGTCTCTCAATAGCATGTTGTGAATCTATAAGGCTAAAAAAATTAACACACGATTTTGGTTTCACCAAACCTTTTATTATAACCAAACTTCTTATCATAAACTGTGACAATGAAGAAAGCATTAAGATAGCTACTAATCTTGACATCAATCCTCAAACCAAATACATCTCTACACACCACTACTTCACTCAAGAAAAAATCAACAATAGAAAAATTCAACTAAAATATGTGCCATCCTTAGATCAAGAAGCTGATATATTTACCAAGCCTTAAGGATATGGATTATTTGAAAAAAATTGAACTAAATTGAATATTATTTCATTAATTGTGAGACAATCACTAGCTTCATTGATATGAAATCAGTAATCTACACCTTTAATACTTCCTAAATCCTAAACTACTCCTCAAACCTCAAAATCTAATAATACATTCCATCTTATTTTTTCTTCTAAATCAAGTTCATAGTAATATGTATCGATCATGCCATTCAATTTAGGAGTTACAAAAAAAAGGAACTAACCATTTGATTCTTCTATGCTCACTAAATTAGGCCTATTCTATTTAGCTTCAATTTCTCAATGCTTCTATTCTCTGCTGACTCTCTTTATTATTTGCAACAATCAAAATATATTGTCATTGGATTTTGGCTGCTAAAGTAATATTAAACTTTGCTTCATATTCAAAGATAATCTAATCATATAGTCTACCACATCTTTGATTTGCTTCAAACTCTCATATAGAATATCTTCCTCTATCATAAAAACCTTTATCTCCTTCTTTATTTCTTTTACTATTTATAATTTAAAAAAAGCTACAGCTTTAATAGAAATCTCACATATACCATATATGTATTGTAAAGATTCAAAATAAGACCAACTCAAAGACAATTCAACCTTGAAAAACTCTTCATACTTTGAAATCATCAAAAGAAAATTGTCTTGAATATAATGAACTACTTCCTCTCTTATCCAACTGCCTACAAATGATTCCTATGAAGAATCTTCTTCTCTTAGCTGATTATCCATAAGCACTTCTTGTGCAAAACTTAATATATTGAAGTAAAATATATTTGTTTTGGAAATTGCTACAACTTTCTTCTTCGATTGAGATTCTCATTATCTACACTTACCACATAAAAAAGCTTGTAACAACAACAACAACGACAAATAATAAAAATAATAATAATCAATTCTTATCAACCTCGAAGTGAAGAATTATAGACTTATGGATCACTTCCTCTTTGACTCTACATAATCTTGAAGTATACTATAGACACTTCCTTCAAAGTGTCACGGACATACATATAATTACCTATATGAATAGATAAAAGTATGTAAAAGTAGGTTAATTGTGTAATATCTTCTAGAGAAGCTTCTTAGAAGCTTCATAGACGCTGCTTTGACTTTATAGGAGTCTATAGTTGACTTTTAGGTTAGAAACTTGGTCAACAAGTTAGCCATGTGCCACGCATGTTGGAAGCTTAAAGAACAAGCTAACTACGTGGTCCATCCATAGAAAACTTGCCTTGCAAGCAAAGGCATGTGGCCTAGAAAGTCAACATATATTGGAGGTCTTATAGAACATCGCCACGTGGCTTCTAGTTAGATAATATATATAAAGGCAAGAGTGAAGCCCTCTTCACTCTTGTCAACTCCTTTCTTGCTTCTAGTCTAGTTTCAAGGGTCTCTAGTTTTCTTGTATTTTGGCAATAGCCATTCCAGTTTCTTTTTTAATATACATATTTCTATTTTTTCCTATTTCTTTTTGAGAAAAGTCTCACTTACTCTTTAGCTTTCATCGAGTTCTTGTCCTTGACACAAAGAAAACATCATTTCTACTTAACAAATCTTGCAACCTAAAATGAAATAAATAAATCATGAACAAAATGATTGAAAGGAGTGTCACATGAAGAACCTTCAAATCCACACTCAATACCTAACAAAAGTTTGCTCTCACTTCTATTTGTCGTGTTTATATTCAAGGATATGATAAAAAATAATAACCACCATCAACTAGCAAAAGATGTTGTAAACAATATACTTTTTTATTTGTAAGAAAATACTTATCATTGCCATCAACAAAAATAAAAACACATGCTTCAAGTCTTCCATTTTTCTAGATGTCTACTCTATTTTAGGTTTTACAATCTTAGCCGCACAATGGTTTTTTCAATATCCTCCATCATAGACTATTTTGTAGTGAAGGAAGGTGTTGGGATGTTCATCCCTATTCCATAATCTTCCTACTTATGCTATTACTTAGAAATACCTAACCTCAAATCCACTTATCTCAATTTTTTTTTTTATTTATTGCATTAAATAAAACCTTTTTTTTCTTACAAATAATATTAGATTAATATTATTTATTATATTTTGTTGTCCATACAACTTAAGAGGTGTACAAGTTTAATATGATATCCATTTTAATATAAATATATATTGTTGAAACAATGAGTTGGATTTTGTCATAATAATTTTTTTTAATGAAGATTAATCTTAATATGTTAAAAATCTACTTTTCTAAATCACATGTAATACTGATAATCACTACCATGACAATATGGTTGATTTTGATCAGCATGCTTGATGGTTTGTTAATAACGGCACTTGCTTTTGCAAGCACATTTTAATCATTATGACTATCACCACTACTTGTGGAAAATACACAATGGGATTCATATTTAAAAAAATACAAAAAATATACAATATATTAATAATATTTTATTTTATTTTTTGACTATTATACATTATTATCAATAATAATTAATTAATTAATATTAAAATAAATTCATTCTAAATGTTACATTAAAATTTAAAATATTATACAATATTAATATAAATTTTGTACAAACAAACTATGTATGATGAATATTGATATCATCAAAAATTTAATGAGTTACATGTTTATTTTAATATTAAATTTATTTATTCTACTTTGTATTTAAATTTACACATTTTACATACTAAAAAAAAAAAAAAAAAAAGAGAAGCATGTATAGGTAAACCTTTTTTCTTTAAGAAACTTGTAATGGCATTTAAAAACATGGTAGCAAAATTTTTAGGTAAGCTCCTAAAATTTAAATTATATTGTGATTAAATTTGATGGTTTTATTTTTATTCATAAAATCTTCCTCTGCAAAAAAAAAAAAAAAAAAAAAAAAAAAAATCTTTGAACTTGTACTTATGAGTTATTTAAAATTTTCATAATAAATTATAATTTTTTTCTAAATATTTAAAGAAAAATTAAAAATCTATTAATTTTAATGCATAATTTTAAAAAATTATTAATATAATAAAAATATATAATATATATGCAAAATTTTATATTAACAGATAAAATAGCTTCTATTAATTGGCAAAATTATTTAATTAATAAAAATTATTCATCAACAAAACTTTGTAGAATTACATACAGCTATTTCCAGACCAAACTCTTTAATTTTATTACAGTGCAGTTCCTAATCATTTATATTAAACACAAGATATCATACTACTTAATTTTTTTTATAAATTTAAAAAATATAAAAAATTTTGAGTTTCGTAACAATATGCAACATTATCTCTAATCAGAAAATTTCTTATTCTGACTAATTTTTTATTATGTTTTGAATATATATATATATACATACGTACATACATACATATACACAATTTTTCAAAAAATAGAATATATCCTAACTTCTAATTTCTACAATTTTTTCATATTTATTAGTCGTGATTTTAATAAAAAATAGCTTTTGTACTTTATTGATTTCTATTTATAAAGATATTTTTTGTATTTTAAAAAGATTGTTTCAACACTATTTACTACATGCAAAATTTCTTTAAATGCCAACTCAAAATTGAATTAAAGTATTATAATTATCAATGTATTTGATATTTAAATGTTTCACTATATTTTACCTTGATTCTTTTTTTTCATTTTTTCATTTTTTTGCTTTCAGATAGTATTGCTTGATTGAACCTGTAAACTTGGATTTGTTTTATTTAATATAAATTTTAGTATAAAACAGTAAAATTCATGCCAATGATTAAAAGACATTCTTTTAAATATGTTGTCTTTCGTACCTTTAAAATTGAGACCATGTTCACCAATTTGCTAAGAGATCCATTGTTAGTTGAATTAGTTTACAGTTTTTGAATGTAAGATTTATAATAAAAATCTTAGTTGGTGATTTCTTTTTTCTTTATGTATCTCTCTTATTAATTTGAGATGTTAACATAACTTTTAAATGGTTTGGAGGATTGGATCAAGCTATTTCCTCATAAAATGTTAGTTGACAGCTCAAAATGAAATTGTGTGAAACAATGTCAAAGTTTTGTCCCAGGAAAACATCCTCACAAAATGGTCATGTTTTCCATGCATGTGTGATATATCAATCCTTGAGATGCATGTTGTGAACTACTGTTCCTTATAAAATATTACTAAAAAATCTGGAAGTTGAAAGTGTATCTTCTGAATGGCAAACTCCTTCTGACTGCATTTATTGGGATAATACATAGAGAGATGGTCACATGGGCACCCTGTTACATTTGGTGGTGAAGCCAATGTAGTTCAAATACCCCCACAAATTATTTTTTATTTTAAATCACCATAGTCCAATCTAGTTCAGATTTCAAAAACCTTCAAACATTGTGATTATCTCCTATCATGATGCATTGCAGGCCCACACCAGTTGTGGTCAAAGCCTGCTCTAAAATGAGTTGATTCTATAATTGTGAACTATCCAGCAAAATAGTAGCCCAACTTCAAAGGGTGCCAGTGGCAACTTGGAGCATAAGTTGGCCACACACCTCATGCATGGCATTGGTGGCAGGCATGACCCATCTAGTAAGTCACCAAAGGTTATTTTCTTCTAGAATTTTATACACTTCAAGTGAAAGGCTAGCAGCTATTTCTTCAAGTCCCTAGCAGAGTAACAAGGCATGTGTTGAGCACCTGTATTGCTTGAAATTGGCACAACCTCTGGGTGATGAGAATCATGAACATTGTTGACTTTGTGCATGTGGGGTCCATTGTGGAAGCCTGAGTAGCTTGTTGAATTTGTTGAATGGCCATCAAAAGACTACTCCAAGGATGTCTCCAATGACAAACCCACTGATAGCACCTCCTAACAATGCCAGTGCAATCTTCCCAGCAGTCTGCTGTGCTGGTCTTCTATCCATGAAGGGATGATAGGGCAGTGGGGTTTCTATATATGTTGAGCCCCCTTCCAGATTGTGAGGATAATATGGAACAGCTTCTGCAGGCTGGGTAGGCCCACTAAAATTCAATCCATTGCTTGATGCTTGGTAAGTGCTGCTGGTTACTTGGTGGTGCATTTCAGGTGGAGCAGATGGAAATTGAGGTGTGCTGTGATGGGCCATGTCAATAGGTGAGCCCACAGGATACCCCATTACAGGTAGGCTACTTGGATGCAAAGATAAGAATGCACTGGTTGAAAATGCTTCACTCCTATCTGTATGGCAGAGACAATGGACACATTATCATGTCATTCCACAATCATTGAATAGAAGAGAGAACCAAACATTCAAAGTCTCAGTTCAAGCCTGCATATGTGTGGAAAGCACTATGAACTATGGTTAATTTTAAACAGTTTGTAGCCAAGACTAACTTGAAGATGTAGCTCTCACTAGAAGGGGTCTGGATCAGCATTTACTCATTACAGATTGTCTCTAAATTAAAACCATGTTTGCCTGGTCAATATGATTTCAATATCCATGTGTTAGTATATATTAGAGATATTTCATGTGCTCCTTGGGATGCTGGGTGGAGCATTACATACAAGAGAATACATGCATTACAGCAACTGATTGCTCACTCATTATGAGGCAAGTTCCTTGTAGGAAATAAAAGAAGGAAAATAACATATATATATATATATATATACATACATACATATACACATATACACACACTTGTCACTGATAGGCATAATAAATATTCGCAAATCACAGATGAAGAGGCCAGAAAGTGATGGGTCCAGAATTACCTATTAGACTGATGGAAAGGCTGAGGTAACCTTGCGCTTGACCTGAAGGAGTAGTCAGCTGCAATTGCACACAATCGTGCTCCTCAGGATCATCTCTCATTGCTTTTATTCTTGCAATCTCAGCGAACGGAAGGAAGGTGGTTCCTAGCAACTTCTGTTTTCTTTTGCCCTGGCTGAACACCTGATGCACCAGAACATGTAAGACAGTGTCAACTAATGCCCTTGTGCTCAATTAATCAAGGACCTGTCTAACATTCCCCAATTGAGAGGACTGCAGAGTTGACATTGAAGACTTCATATGACATAAAACTATCTTTTAGACGATTAAAACGCATGTTAAAAAGTTACCAAACAAATAATTAAACAAACAAAGCTGATCACCGGTACTATAAAGAATCCACTAAGATTAGATGCACTTGCTTGGAGATATGTGAATTGACTCCTGATATTAAACTCAAGTGAACTGCTACAAGTTCAAATGAATAGCGCAAACCTGTATGGTGATGACCGAATGAGGAAATAGCGACACATCCTCTCCCAGATTAAAAACTAGCACGTCGTTCCACTCTGGGTACCGGCCCCCTTTGTGATGCACCCGCGTCGATTGCTTCATAGCGGGGTCGATCCACAGCACGCAGTACACACTCATCTTCCTAAACCCAGCATCTCTTTTCAAATCCTCCGCCGTCAACACCATGACGTGCATCTCCGCCCGCACCATTGGTGCAGTGGGTGCAAAAATGACACTACCCTCTCAACCGGGAATAATCGCGCGTCCTACAGCCTCTGCAGCCTCTACCTTACCGAACCCATATCACACCACACCAATTACATGGTACTCAATCTCACCAACGATCCCTGCTCGCACAAATCCTCCCACTCTGCCAACCCTCTCCAACATCTCACAACGCTACACAACAGTCCAGAAACAAGCCAGAATGCAAACTCGACCAACTGGGTCGCCATTAAACGTTGAGAAACAGATGCAGCAACATCAGGGTAGAGGCACAGATCAGATGGTGATGGGAAATCGGCGGAAAACGCTCTCCCCTCGGCGCCGATGATCGTTCACGCTTCATCACGAGCTTCTTCACTTTTCCTCCATGCACACTGACTCCCAGCTCCTAAGAGGAGTACCATTCAGGAGCTAATTGTGTGAATATTCCGAACGTGCAGCTTTCATGGCGGTTCGACGTCCGCTCCTGCGATAAAATCCACAAGAAATCGCAGCCGATGATGCAATTCGTGGGGAGTCGAGGAGTTTCCGTCTTGTGCTTTAGCAAGTGTGGCTGCTGTCGTTTATTCTCACGCTCTTGAACCCGGCACACCAACCGGATGCGTCATGGGATCGATTCCCCTCGACGACAGTGTTTTCATTGTTTTTATGTTTACTTTAAAAGTTGTGATGGCTTGTCTTGTCTGAAAGGTTTGCTGATATGAAATTTTTATAATTTTTTTTATAATTTTTTTATTTGTACAAATATTCATAGTAAAATGATAAACAAGAATCATATTTTTCTTTGTATGTATATTATTCCAAAAAAGAAGATTGATGTAATAAAATAGACTTAATAACAATGTAATTAGTATAAGTATATGTGTAATGTTCTTATATACTTTCAACACTCCTTTATGTATATGCATGCATGCATATATATATATATATATATATATATATATAACGGAATGGCAAATAGACCTAAACTTTTACTAAATCAATCCACCCATCATCACAAATTAGCACTTGGATTGTTCAAATCTTGTTCATCATTAAAACAATCATTTGCAATTGGATTAACAAAATCATGGAAAATATGATCAATAGAATTGGTTCCCAATGGCTATTATTAATTGTTATTTCCATTTGTCTTACCTTATTACTTCTACAAGTCTTTATATATTCAATTTTCTTCTTATTAATCCTATACTAAAGATTTTTATTTTTAACATTGTATGTAGTATATAAAGAAGAGAGTAGAAATTGTATACTCTAGAAGTATTTATATTTTGTAATAGAAAATGAAGCACATATGTCTACACAACTAGAAGGGTATTCTGAAAGTATAGAAGAAAAAAAGATAATATAGATAGATTGATATATAGTCAAAGATATATTGTTTGAAAATGTTGCTCTAACAAAAATTGCATTGATTACAAGTGTAATAGAGACAAAATTCATTATAAGCAAAATAATCATATTTATTAATAAAATAGTGCAAGTTGGTTAATTGAATGTCTATTGGTATTGCATGCTTGACATTTATAAGGTAGTATAGAATGGCACTCAAGTATTCAAAATGCTCTTCATAATCATGGATTTTTTGCTTCTCTTTTAGATCATTCATTTGCTTAATGTCTTCAACTAATACAAAAAGAAATGAAACCATTATTGCTTGTTGCAAATGTTCTGTCAAAAAATGTTGTCATTGTCTTACAAGAGAGCAATTCTAATAGCAAAGTTATTGTTCAAACTATTTATAATGAACAACAATGATTGCATCATATTTTTTGCCTATTGTTTGTCTTACAAAAACTTTATATGCTATTAAATATTATTTTACTTATTGATATGATGAATACAATAAGGTAGTTTTTTTTATTTTTTGTATATTCCAATTAGATTGGACTTGCAAAAATATACACTTCTTCCATTTTTATAAATTATATATACAAAATAAACATGTTTAGAATGCTTATTTTACATATTGTGGTAATGAAAAGTTTTAACATCTCATTTATCATTATTGTTGATTTTTTCTAAGAAAAAAAAAAAAAACCTTTCTTTTGTTAGACATTAATCTAATTTTTGTAAATGTGTGAAGATATTTGATCTATATGCATTGGTGATAATAGGAATTTGGCATTGATAAATGCTATTAAATTAATATTTCTTATTTCAAATATCTTATTCTATAACTGACATATTTAAAAAAATATATTAGCAAATTATAAGAAGTATTTTTTAAATAAGGTAAAAAATAAGATGGTCTTTATTTATTGCAAATTAGATCACTATGTATAGTGTTCTTTTTGACAAATTTTTTGATCTAGAATGATCTAATCTTTGCAAGAAGTACATTCCTATTATTGCTTATGCATCAATTATATATTTTTATCATCAATACCATTTGATGAATAATTATGAACCATTAGCTATAATATAATTAAAAATTGAACTATCTTCTAAAACTCTTTGCTATGTCTATGATATTGTCATTTGTATATTTGATGTACTACCTATTTACTAACAAAAAAAAAGTATGTGATCAATTATTAGAGCTTGCAATGGTTACTATGAGGTTGAAAAATCCAAAGATTAGTCAATCAAAAGAAATAACATGTAGAAATGAAGTATGTGTTTAGATATCTATATAACATTTTCTTTTATAATTTGAAGTTATTAAAGCCACATAAAAAATACAACTTTGCAAGAATTGCAAATGTATTGGACATAATGTTTATATATGTCCTACAAAAATAACTTTTCTCTCACAACTATCTACAAATAGATCACAAATATAGTTGGATTTATAGCTATAACCTACTATAAATAATTAATATAAAATTAGAAATTAATGTATTATTTTAAAAATTTTGGTTGATTATTTATTCAAGTTATAGTATTAATGAAGAAAGTGTACATGAAAAGGGTGAGCATAATGCATGTCAAAATACAATCTGTACTAAAAATATGATTTTTCATCATAAACTAGCTTTCTATTTTATGCAATTAATTTGTTTCAGATTCATGCCAACTACTTGAACCAAATGGACTACCTCTATTTTTAACATGCTTAGAGGTTGTCCTTATAAATATAGGGAATAAGAATGAATTTCAATTTAACATAACATTGAAAACCTCTTCAATTAAGAGCTTTAAGCAATGGCACATGATATCTTAATGACTAAATAAGTTTTGTAGGATTGTCTTGTAAGAAATTCATTGCCGAAATTCATACTATATGGTACATGGGAACAAAAAACTCAAAGTACAACAATAAAAGTCATGTGCCAAATCTGACAAAATCAATGTATATTTTGAAAAATCTTCTATAATTTATAAAATTAAACTAATATAGTAACTTGTACTACCAATTTAGCTTCATTCTTTAGATCCATTTAAATATTTTAGAAATATAAATACAACCAAAGAATGAATAGAATGAATAGAAATGAATGAATTTTGATATGATATAGGTAAACTCATTTCAATATTGAAGTTTTTACTTTTCAAATAAGAACCAACTTCAATTACAATTCTACAAGTATTAATGCCATCAATAAAAATGTCGATTCTCTTAGCTATATCTTTTTAAATCTTTGGCCCAATAATATCAAAATAAATCTATACAATATAAATATAGATCAATTAATTTCTTCTACCAAAACAAGATTAAGATTTATAATTGTAAGGAAATTTTTGAAAAGATCAATGGTAATAGTGCTTTCAACTATGTATGCAATATGATACCTTAGGATTTGTTGGATTCTCAAATTAATGAGGCATATATGAGTTGGGAGTTTTCTTCATAATTTCTTTGGTTTTTTGGACAGTGCCTTTTATTTCTTTAGTTAAAACAGAAGGACAAGTTCTACTCCAAAAGCTTTCAATAGAATGCAACACTCCAAACTCATGGATATAGGTATGGTAGTTATAACTAGTTAGCAAAGAAACAAGCCAAACATGGATCAAACTTCAATATATTATACAACCTAGAAAAAGATTTTTGCTACATACATACAAAATAGATACACTACGTATTTTGTGAGTGAATAGTCTTTTAGGCTTACTTGCTTTATAGATCACATATCTAAAATTTTAGAGTTTGGAATTATTATCTATAAGTTTGGAATACTAGAACAAGAAAAGATCTCCAAATTTAATATCAAATAAGATAAAAGTATAGACCTACAAGTAATTTGAATTTAGATTAGTCTTATAATATATTTTTATAATTTGTATGCCATGAGTAATAGCCTTGGATTGCATAGGAAGATTGTTACCAAAGGCATAAGCTTTCTAAAATTTATTTGATTGTCTATTATCATCAAAAATCTAAACCATGCTTTTACCTCCTTGCATACAATATTCCACATATCCTTATCAAATTCTACTATAAATAAATCAACTAACTCATTAATTGATAAGCTAAGTAAAAAATAATACTACAATAAATAAGTATTGAACCAAAAATTATATGCAAGAATCATGACTTAAAATAAAGTTTATAAATATATAAACCTTTCTGAGAGTGATTGCACTCTTATTTTGATATGATTAAGAGTCGGTGCTATAGCTCTTAGGATACAATTCTACCCCACCTTGTGACCTATACTATCAGTGCACTCATGGTGATAATCAAAGCATCAATGCCTTCAATTACAACACTCAAAGTCTTTGGCTTTGTGGTGTTTGAATATATATAAAGTGACAAAGAATGTTGCCTCATGAGTAGTAGATGAAAGCAAACTTAAGCTACAAAGTGGGAGCAAAGGCAAGACTTACAAGTAGATGTAAGTAGACCAAAGCAAATCATAGCAAACATAAGTTGCAAAGTAGGAACAACACAATGAGACTAATTTGAGTTGAGTCTCTTGCTCTCTTCTAAATACATAATTAGGATTCTTTCACCAAGGATTGTGGCACATAGAAGTGGCTATATTTGTAATAACAATGAAGATTACATGATCATGATTGCGGATGAATTTATTTGGTTTTCATTGGTTGCAAATTGAATAGTAGGAAAATGAATCTAAAGGTCATTGTTTTATCATGATTATGACAATAGGTAGGTTGTTTTAATAAAAGATTGATTCTATTCAATATTTTTTTTGTTTATATATATATATATATATACTTTTCTTTTCACCTTTTCTTTTCACCTTCCAAATCAATGGGATTTTGAAGAAGAAAAATGGATTAGAAATTATTTATCCAAAAATACTTACAACCCTATTTTTCTTTTAGTAATTTGAATTCCTAATGACATCTCATTTTGACAATCCAATACTTTTCTAAAACTAAGAATCCAAAAGCAACCAATGTATAGATTGCAAAGAATAAATGCTACAAGATATAACTTAAACACTTATTGCTCAAAATAATGATAATAAAAAAATAAAAAAATAAAAAATTGAAAGAGATATCATTGAATTAACTTCCTCCCTTCTCCTAACAATGATATCTCTTTCAATTTTCAATTCATTTTCTAAGAAATTGCCAAGTCAAAGGCCCTTCTTCCTTACAAGACTCTCTCAAGTCTATTTTCCAGTCCATTTTCTTGCCTCAATGCTGATTATTACAAGATTTCCCAAAATATATTCTCTGCAAAATACCTAAACCATAGCACACTTGATGCTTGTTGTACATCATTATGATAAGGTTCTCCTAAATTCTTAACAGAATCAAGGGATTTTATGGAGTGTGCCCACACAATTCAAAGTTCAGAAAGTCCTTTCAACAACAAAAAAAACCTTTTTTTAGTGATACAACCATCCGCCGTTGCCTTCTCTGGAGGAAAAGCTAAGCACCATGTTTCACTAACTCCTCTGCCCTTCCGCAACTGCTTTAGGTTTGGCTGCATCGTGGTAGGAGGGCAACTGCTGGTCCACGCATGTTGTGACGCAGAAGTGGCTCCCTGGATCTTAGAATTGTATCTTTGATAGTTACCAGTAACAGACAACCAGGGAAAGCATGGAGTTGAAGCTCACTTTATAATCCCAAAAAACTTTATCTATGTAGTGAGTATTTTTAAAGCTACCTACACACGACAAGTTTGTTTGTGTAACTTTACACATGTTCGAACACATTGGAAATTTCACAGTTACCTACAAAATCTACCAACCACTTCACTTATTCAATATATCTTTAACTTATTCAATATATCTTTAAGGAAAGATTGAATGTCTGACAATTCACTCACGTTTGCACCCTTGAATGTGGAGAGATCTGTTCCACGTAAAATTGAGTGTCTTACTCAAGTTACTCTAGACAAGTCAAGCTTTTTACCAGTCCTGAGGAGTGATTGCACATGAAAAACAGAGCCTGAGCCATAGGGTTCGCACCAGAACCATGACTTCAGAGTCAGTAGTTGGTCCCAAAAATCGTGCTTATAAAAGCAGCATTTACATCACCAATGTAATGTGAAGAAAGCCACAACAAAACAGCTGCTGATGAAACCAGTACTTGACCTTAACTATTACTTGCTTCTCAACTACAATGATTGCAGTAAATACTTGTGAAATCTGCAGTTCAATAGCCACGTCTTGAATTGAAAACTAATAACATCGACATGTACATCTGGTAAAAACCTCAAAGTATTCGACTCGTCGAACAGCCACATTAATTACCTTCCAGTGATCAAACTGGCATTGCAACGAAGCATCCTAGCGTTCTGACAACTAAAAGGACCCTAACCACTTAAGAAGCTTGAGCTTTCGCAGCAGAAGACTTTTTATTCTTTTCCTTCTTCTTCAAAGAGTCCATGTGTGCCTTCAAAACAGTGGCATATGAAGTTTGAAATCTCTGATGATCCTTGGCCGTGAGCTGCAAACATAAAATTAAGAGTCTTAATATTTACTGAACCTTAGACATCAGAGCCTACAAAATCAAAACAAGATCAACCATCCACTGCTGCCAGGTTTATTGCGGGACTCACGAAAATCACTACACGCGCACACACACACACACACCGAAAAAGACAAAGCGAGAGAAAGAAATAAGAAACAAAAAACAAAACGGCCTTCGGTTCGACACAAGAGAACATACAGAGCAGCTAATCTTTTTCTTGCCATCTGTGGCACGAACCAGACATCGAAATTCTGGAGCTTCGGCCGCCTGAGCAGGTGTTTCTTCAGGCTTTTTTCTTTTTTTCTGTCTCTGAAGAGTAGCTGCAACAACCACGCGCAGATAATTATCAGCAAAACTGAATAATGTACATACAACCTGAGAATTTCAGGGTCAGGGAGTATATCAACGCAAAAAAAAAAACCACCCACAAAGTATGTCTATCCATTCGTAAAAACCTAACTCCACGCAGAGTTTTCAAATCTCGTAAGGGCTGCCATGCTCTGTACACCAAGCGTAACAGCAACATGCATTCATATATAATGAAACGAATGAAAAACACAACCATTCAATCAAGAGCCCTCACGCAAAACCATCCAAGAGAGAGAAGAAGAGGGCACATACATCTTTTGAGGGTAACCCATACCGTGCCCGACTTTTTGGTGTTCTCGTATAGTTTAGTTAGCTCGTTCAAAAAGGGATCTAATTCTAAAAGAACCTGCATCAGTTTACAAACATTAGGGCTCCAAATCAACTTGGCAGACAACACGAGTGAATACATCAGTTAAGCACGAAATAATCAACTTCCAGGAGTAACCGCAAGTTAATTGCCTCCTTCTTTCAGGCCAAGAGCCCTCTGATCATCGCCCATGTCGCATAAATGCAAACCCCCATTCACGACCTAAACCTAATTCACTAACAAAGACACCACCACTACACCATACGACCTTTCCTATCAGCTAAGAGTCAATTGTAGACCCAAAAAAGGCGACTCTAGTTCAAAATACTCTTCCAGAAATCCGACACTCATTAACCATCAAATACCATCACACACCTCCACAAGATGATTTCAAAACAGGCGGCAGATGCAACAGAGCCAAAGCCTAAAACTCAGCCACAAACTGGAACCACGAAAGAAGCTCAACAAAAGTTCAAGCGATGCAGCGAAGCGGGGCAGTAATCAGATGATCCATACCATGGCTGAGGTTCGACGATAAACCTGGTGATCCTCGCTGCTGCTGCTGCTGCAATGCCGATTGCAATGGCGAACTCGGAGGCCAACAGGCCTCCGCTTCCAACTCGCTGACCTGCTTCGACAAGCATCACGACGGAGCTCGTTTTTCGTTCCGTCTGCTGCACAGCGACGTCGTATTTCGCGACGATCAACCAGCCCACGTCGTTGTCCCTGCACCACTATTGACACCACTGTTGATACCCGTGGGAAGCTGTTTCATCGCTTCGATTTGTCTGATTGCAAATCGGATTGGACGAAGATCATGGTACGATTCTGAAATGATTATGTTTACTTTACTTCGTTGATGTGTCTATATTTAATTATTATGTATTAAATAATATAAAAATATATTTTTTGGGAATGTTAAAGTGACGCGGGGTTTTACCAAACCGACCCATAGTCAATACCACGTAACGGGGATACCCTTGTCCCCCATCCCCGTTCCTCCCGTTCCCCCCGTTCCCATCCCTTCGTCCTCTGTCCTAACCTCAGCGCCCGTCGCCCGTCCACTGGCCCCTCGCGGGGCAGCCAAGAGGGGGATCATGTCAAACATCAACATACCAAGTGACTACGTTGGCTGTCCTGCAGTTCCAGTTCGGGAGTGGTGGAAGAGATGGTGACTTTGCGGAAGATGGAGAGACCTGTGAAGAAATCACCCACAGAGCCTGCAGGAGGGGAGGCATCCACCCCTGAAGACCATTGAAGTGTTGCTACTGTTCACTAGTTTTATCGTATCTTCGATGGCAACAATTAAATTCTACTGTTATGTGGTTAATAACTTCTTTGATCCGTACACAACATTAGTAACAGCTCACAAGAATTGAAGTAATGCTGATGTGATTATAACCAATAAGTGAGTTTGCAGCATGTACAGATACAAGCGGTGGGAGTTTTCATAAGAACCACAGGCTGAAATAGACGGAATTCCTGAACGGCAGGCATGCAGCGATATATCACTTTGGCAGTACAGAGAATGCTCAAACAAGAAATCCAAAAAATAAGAGTTAGACGGCGGTATAGCAGACCACGCCTTGTCAGTTACGTACTAGAGTGACTTCGATACTCTACTCGACGTCAAATCCATGTCACTTTTGCAAACATAATTTTCAAATCAAAAAAACAATGCAGAGGAGGTCGTGGCCATCTGGAACTCCGTAATTCTTGTGAACATATTGTAATTGTAAAGCTTGAATGGGTGATACACAAATCCGTCATTCGCGTACAGGATGAGAAAGGTTCTGCTACGCGTCAATTTTCATAGTCCAGCGGGGAAGTTCACTCCCAAGAAGCACCAGCTCGAACAAAATATCGACTGCCGTATTTCAAGCATGATTTATTTAATAGACAAAATATTGCTCTCACCGCACACTCTGCAAAAATTTGCCAAACTAATGACCATAGGCAGTTTCATAGCACTGGAAGCTCTAACTGTTCCAAATTATGAAATCGAACAGCTAAGTGAGAAAAGAAGACCAGGCCTTCAACACGATCAATTGTTCCTGCTCTCGTTTTGAAAATGATGTATTTTAAGACGTACAATAACTCAGGGCAGCGCTGAAGCCGTCGCAAGACTGAGTACGTTGTGATCTCCTTGCATGGACATTTTTCTCACAACAAAGAAATGGAAACCAAATCCGCCAAGGCAGATGTACCATTCAGAGGTAAAAGCTGGTAAGCATACGTTGGTTTTCGATGTTTAAAATCTTATGCCATGACAAATTACATGGCCTCCTCAGACTGTTTGAGATCTCGCATGATCAGTCATAGGTTGTTTTTGTACTGTGGGGACTCGAGAAAGTAGTAATATAGAGGCTCAACAACGGGATGCAACCAAAATGGCTCTACAAAGCAGGGGATAGGTTAAACCATGTGAGGTCATCGCCTTGAAATAAGCTGCAGGGTGGCTGCGGAAGGAATAGGGGCCTCACTCCACCGAGGAATAGATCCGATTTCTCATTCTGTAACTTCCAGAAACGGGAGACGGGCTTCGGGCGCTGGAGACGCGCGCCGGCAACAGGGAGGTTGGGACAGGGGACGAAGGGATGGGAACGGGGGGAACGGAGGTAAGAGACATGGGGTGTAATGATGGTTACTGATTATAGGTCGATTTAGTAAAATCTTGGGTCCCTTTCATATTGAGAAATTGTTAAATTGACCCAAGCATTTACTGAATTGATCCACCCATCCTAACCATCATCAAAACATTCTCTACTATGAATTAATGAAAAAATAGTTGGATCCTCAACCAATGAGGATGGATGAATTGATTTACTAAATATTTGGGTCAATTTAACAATGTCTGTTTTTTAATTTAAAAACCAAAAATTAATAAAGTGTGATTATATGTAAAAAAGAGATAGTATTTATTTGCCTTCATCTTTTTACTCAAGTTTTATACTTCATTTATAGCTATTTATTATTTGAATCTATTAAATAATTTTACTTTGAATAAAATTAAATTCTAATTTTTTATAATAAATTTATATTAAAAATATGGATAAAGTATAAAAAATATATTAATATTTTATATTATTATATTAACATAAAAAATATGAAAAAATAGATTATATATATATATATATATATATATATATATATATAAATAGAAATCTATGTCATTAGGGACACAAATATTTTTAACATAATATAAGACAATACACATAAAAAGGCAACATACATTTTTATTTTGTCAAAGAGAAAAATTATGAAAACATATTTTGATACAAAACGGACATACATATAATTACCTATATGAATAGATAAAAGTATGTAAAAGTAGGTTAATTGTGTAATATCTTCTAGAGATGTGTAATATCTTCTAGAGAAGCTTCTTAGAAGCTTCATAGACGCTGCTTTGACTTTATAGGAGTCTATAGTTGACTTTTAGGTTAGAAACTTGGTCAACAAGTTAGCCATGAGCCACGCATGTTGGAAGCTTAAAGAACAAGCTAACTACATGGTCCATCCATAGAAAACTTGCCTTGCAAGCAAAGGCATGTGGCCTAGAAAGTCAACATATATTGGAGGTCTTATAGAACATCGCCACGTGGCTTCTAGTTAGATAGTATATATAGAGGCAAGAGTGAAGCCCTCTTCACTCTTGTCAACTCCTTTCTTGCTTCTAGTCTATTTTCAAGGGTCTCTAGTTTTCTTGTATTTTGGCAATAGCCATTCCAGTTTCTTTCTTAATATACATATTCCTATTTTGTCCTATTTCTTTTTGAGAAAAGTCTCACTTACTCTTTAGCTTTCATCGAGTTCTTGTCCCTGACAGATTGACAAGAGTACACTTACAATATCAGAGCTTTGTCTTTTCTTGATTAAGAGTGGATTACCCCTTTTTCTTGATAAGACATAAGCGCATTAGAAGTTGCGGATTACCCTCTTTTAAACTAATATTGTTCTTAGTATTTTCTTTGTTATCAATTCCTCTCTTCTATTTGTTTTGAGCGTTGTTAGACATCTTCTCTTTTCTAAGTGCTACTATGGCAGAGCTTGTTGAAATGAAGAGTGCAATGGCACAGATGCAAGAACAATTGAGGGAGTTAATGCTTGCGATGCATCAACTCAATTTACCACCACAAGGAGCAACAAGAATGGTAGGAAGTGAAGATATAGAGATGATTGGGGCTGCTTCAACATCTGCACCAAACCATGTCCCTTCTCCCAGAATGGAACACCCTTCGAGTGTTAGAGAACCGAGAGTTGCCTTGCCCGAGAAGTTTGATGGTACCAGATCCAAGTTTCGAGGATTCATCAATCAGGTCCAACTAGTGATTGAACTTCAACCCCAGAGCTATCCAACTCCAGGGTCACAAGTTAGATTCATTGGTACACTTCTTTCAGGTTCAGCATTGTCATGGTTTTCATCTTTTCTTGAACGACGAGATCCAATATTGGATAATCTGGAGGCTTTTTTGGCGGAGTTTCGATCCATGTTTGGAGAACATGATGCAATTCGTGTTGCAACCAACAAGATCCGTATTTTGCGACAAGGCAATCGATCAGTAACATTATATGCTTCGCAATTTTGACAACTTGCAACTGATATCAAGTGGGATGATGCCGCACTTGTGAGTCAATTTCTCTACGGATTACAATATGAGGTAAAGAAATTGATGCTTAATTTACCTGATCCTCAAACATTGAGTCAAGCAATTGACTTTGCTGTGAAGTGCGACAATCGACTTTTTGAATTTCGATCCGAGAGTCGCACAAGTGGGCCTCAACGTTACTACAATTCAATGGCAACACCGACGTCTCCTCAACACATACCTTCAGAAGTAGAGGATATGCAAATTGATGCGGTACGTTTCAAACCTCTTACTGAGCGAGAAAAGTCTCGTCGTCGACAAGAAGGATTGTGCTTATATTGTGGAGAACCTAAGCACACTGCTCAACATTGTCCAAAGAAGCGACGTAACTACAAAATGAGGAGTACGGCTATCAAAGAAGACAGTATGTCGGAAAACGAGTACGTCCAGCTACAATAGGGACCGTGCGGCTGGAATCTTGTACAACTTCTAATGAAGGTCCTATCCTCTCCTCAGAACCATCTCCTTGTTTTATAATAGATGTGCGTTTAGGACCTAATAATTACAAAGCCTCTGCCTTGATAGATTCAGGAGCCTCAGCTTGTTTTTTAGATGAAGAATTTGCTAGATGTCATAGAATATCATTAATACAAAAAACTAAACCTGTACACGTAGAAGTCATAGATGGTCGTCCGTTGTCTTCTGGAGATGTAACTCACGAAACACTTCCTGTAGATGTAGTAATAAATGGTCATAGTAGTTGCATAATTTTTAATATAATTAGATCTCCCTCTAATCCAGTAATTTTAGGTTTATCATGGTTAGAAAAGTATAATCCTCGAATAGATTGGATTTCTCGTAAACTTGATTTTCCTTGGAGCATTAGTAACAGTTCTATTAATCAAGTAAAAAACCATGAGTCTAGTATAGTAAAACCCGCACTTATAGGTGCAAAAGCATTTATACACGCAGCAAAAGAAGGATCAACTTTTGCTATTTATGCTGCACCTATTTCTGAAAGCGTAAAGACTTCAAGTGGCATTCCAAGTCAATATCAGGATTATCAAGACGTTTTTGAGAA